TTACGAAAATCACGAAAATGCGCAAATTATTTCAAACTAGAAATTCATAAAAAATTTTCTTTTTAAATCTAAGATTTGAAAATTTTTAATTATTTATATATAATATATCCTAGACAGATAAACCGTCTTCGCTCAGAATCGTTTTTCGTATACAATAATGATATAATATTATTGGATTCAAATTTAATTCCATCCATTACAGTAACCCACTTGAACCTACTGTACAGCAGAGCGATATCCACGACTTATCCGCCTTTTTAATAATTACTTGATAAAATGAAGAAAGATTTTGACTCATTTTGAGCTGTTCACTGACATTTTTAATATTCAATATTTTTAGTTTTTTTTTTCTATAAATGTCAATAACATTTTGTTCGTTGTGTCAAAAATAAGCTTAAAAAGTGTTCCTGATAATAATATATTGTTATAATAGCAGTTGAAAAATATTAAAAATACATAGACACGACTTTTTTTTATAAGCATTCAATATTGAATTTTTTTGATAACATTTATAAATCCAAAATTCGGACGAAATTGCATACTTAAACCAAGAATAATGATTTTAGCTATTTTATTGTAATTTAAAAATATTATTTTCGCGTACTTGAAACATATACATAGAGTGGGTATGTTATTATATTTTATACACTCACAATGATATTGTCAAACGCAATTTTTTCGACTTTAATCACAATAATATAACATAAAATATATCTATTTGGTAATATTATAGGCTGACCGCTTTCGTTCAGAATCGTTTTTCGTATGCCAAGATTTTATACCATTGAATTCGAAATTAACACATCCATTACAGTGTTTCACTAAACAGCGTTATCCACTTACCTGCTCGTCTTATTTCGGATTAGTCCGTTGGTGTACTTTAGTTATGTGTTATGTGTACAAGAAGAATGGATTGGGATTCACTCGATTTTCTCATCGAAATTATATTTTATACGAGCCTATACAGTTTACGCAAAACAATTCGATGAAACAGAAATTAATATTAAAAGCACAGACAGTATTTATAATACTGAAAAATTTAATTCTATACCCTGTTATATGGCTTCCGTGTAGATAACGACCTTTTTGATAAGTAATTATACGAATCCAATTTGTTTCCGCTAAATCTAAAAACTGTTCGATTTTTGTTTCTACAATAACTTTTCACACTTGCCATTTTTGTTATATTTTTTTCAATTATTTTTCCTAGTAAGAGATGTATTTTGTATTTCTCAGAAATCGCTCTTTAAAGTTATTTTTATTTTATTGATATAATGATGTATTACTTACCGTACATTTTTATTGAGTTTGTGTTAACGCCATACACATTTTGGATGGGAAATCAAGCTATCTAATAATCTTACGAGTCTAAAAACATAAATTAAACAGTTCATTTTAGTAATTTATTTTCTTTATAAACAAAACTTCAACACAACTTAATTGAGTGCTAGGTGACTTGATTAAATTTTATCTAATAATATCTTATTATGTTAATAAATGCTGATTGTTTTATACCAAACATGGGTCCCATTTATTAAGAATCCGATAATTTAATATTGTTATGGAATCAATATTTACTATGTTGCAATTATTTTATTATTATTTTTTATCATATTATACTCATTTATATCAGAACAAAATTTATATTTTCAAAATACATCAAGCATTATATGTATTATTTTGCTTATGTTTTGCATATTATTATTTTTTATCATATTATTTTATTTTCATTATTAATTGATCAAACGTGCTCATAAATTTTGATTTAAAACTAAAATTTTGTTTTGTGTATGGTTTATTAATCATTATTAATAGGTCTTTAATCTGCGTACTCACTACTCATTGCAGCATAAAGGTGCTAAACACTAAACACATTTTATTTAACTTTTGGTGTTGACCGTCATATTATATATTATTTGGTACCTAACTATATTGGATTAAAAAATCAACGTTGTGTTGAACATTGACTAATTTAACTAACTCAAGTTAATTGCCCATTTTTAATAAAATATTAAAATAATTGACGAATAGTAGTTATATTAAACGCACAGTGTAGACAAATAACATTCGGGCATTTTGCCTTGAAAATAATGTGTTGTAAATATTGTAATATAATATGAATTAAAGTTTAAGACAGATGATAGGGAGGGGGTGAATACGATATCTTTGCCACCACTATAAAGTGTCAGTGGCAACCTATCCCAACCCTCTACCCCCTAGAGATTATCCTTTTGATTCTGAACAACACATAATGATGCTAATATGCAGTGCAAAGTGTGAGTAATATTTTTTGTTAATATTTGATTTAAAAAAAATAAAAAAAAATATTACAAATAATGTGACTCAATTGATTATGTTCAAAAAGAATAACAATACACATTATTGTAGCATGTCATTATTTAATATTTTTTTTTTATTTTTTTTTTTTGATGAGCAATAGCGGTACACAAATTTACGTTATTATTATAGTTAATAATCATTATATCTACACCACATATTATTATTATTATTAAGTATAGAAAAATGTAAACAAAGTCGATCTAGAGTAACTATATTATTATTATGACATTTCGTTTCCGTGCACGTGGAACTATATAAAACTTATGTACTATATGTTGGTAACTGCAGGTAAGTAGCAATTGAAAAACTAATTTTTTGGTACTTAGCATTGTTCCGTTACGAAAACGGAAACGGATTATGATTGTGTTTAATACTATTGGTCGGAACCACGACATGAATTGGCATTTGAAAAAGATTGCTTCGTCGCCAAGAAAATCAAAAGTTGAAAAATAAAAACCTTCAGATTACACTGTTGCAATCAATAATTTCAATATTATTATAATTTAGACAATATTTGCGGAAATAGTATATTTTATGCGATATTATTTACAATATATTTGGTACGGTAGAGCAGCGTTTCATAAACTGTATTCCACGGAACCCTGGGGTTCCGCGTAGATTACTTCAGGGTTCCACGAAGCTTGAATTATTTTTTTTAAATGTTCAAGAAAATTACATATACAATATTAAATAATAATGTATAATTCATATGGAATAATCTATCAGCTAAGTCTATATTTAATAATCTATACTTCTACTTAATATTATAATTCATTTGCAACAAATAATCCTAAAAAAAGCTAAAAAGCTAAAAAAAAAAGTAGGAGTTCCACGATAAAAGTGAACATCAAAAAGGTTTCCGTGGATAAAAAAGTTTAAGAAACGCTGCGGTAGAGGGTCGTCGTCGTCATCATTAGAAAAGATAGTCTTGAGCTAGAGGTGCTGAGTAGGCGAGTCCAGTGGGTGTGTAGACGGGTGCTGGTGCTGGGGCAGGGTAGGCGACGATGGCTGCGGAAGGGACGACGGCGGGTGTCACGGCAATCCCGTTGTAGTTTCTAGACACGTACTGCGAACTGTAGGCGGTGACCACTCCAGGGTGGACGGAGGTGGCCACGACAGGTGCTGCTGCGGCTAGGGGCACAGGGACTAAACCTGACGGGGCGGCGACGGATATGGTGACCAGACAGCAGGCGACCAGCGCAAACAGTGGCTATAGAAAAGAACAAAATTAGTATGTATTTAGTTATGTGTTTTTATAGTATGTAAAAAGGTATGGTCGTATAGGTAAGTTTATAATTTATATAGTCAAAGTTCAGTGTAATTATTGATTTTTTTTCTACATATTGCATGTGAAAACTCTTAAATTTGATCTATTTTAACAATTTATTTTATTGCTTCCGTCTATTTTTTCACTTAGTATTTTCCGAGAATACCATGTCAAATTTTGATTTCTTTTTTACGACGATCTAGATTTTACGCTTCACAATCTAAAACCATGATAGCACCCAATACATAGCTTAAAATTCCTATGTGTTATGTATGTAAGGTTGAAATTTAACTTAAGAAACATTATATTATATAGGTACATGCAATTATCAAATAATACACAAAATTCTTATCATGACTCAATTTTAATTTTTAACCATAATAAAAATAAAAATAAAATATTTCGAAATCAACTAAAATTTATAAAATGTACATTTAATTCAAAACTACTTAAAATTATTACAATTACAATTTTATTTAGCTAATTTTTCATTTATATTCATGTATTCATCATTCATTTTGTCTAAACAGAGTGATCCACTAAATACTCGATTGCTCTATTTTTTACTCTGTAGGTATAATGCTTTTGAAGCTCCTTACTTGACTATACTTTACAATACTTGGATTTTTATGCTATTTAAGAAATATTCTCATTATGTGTTGATACAAACTAATTTTTGTTTCAAACGAGAACCAATATTTTTTACTACAAATGTATTGTCAAGTAGATGACTTTTTTGTAAATTTTCATGTAAGTACCTATCAGTAAAAATTCTAACGAGTAGTTTTGAAGTTAAAAATATAGGATAATAGTACTTAAAAAAATTGTTATAATGATGAGTATTTAATTTAGATAATGTTTAAAAATTATAAAACGTTAATAGTATTTAACAATTAAATAGTCAAATCATCACATAACCCAAATATTATTATATTTCAACACTTTTATTATTAGTCTGCAATGCAATGTTAAATAACTCAAAAGCTATTCTTTATTATTTCGATTTATATATGTAAATACACAAATAATTTCAAAAAATTCATCTGCTTGACAATTTATAAGAAAAAAGGGTGATTCTCATTAAAAAAAAATTGGTATGGTCACAAAACTCCCTTCAAATGACATAACGATAAGAGTGTTTCATGAAAAATTTAAAAATATGATCCTTAAACATACATGTATAAATTAGTAAATTACAAATATTTGAATTTGAATTAACTTATTATTAAAGGGTAAAAATGGGTTTGAGTATATTTGGAAAATCACCCACGCAGTGTACTTACTTTATTGCCTAATAAACTCGTAAAGAATATAATTTATCGATATTATATTGTCGTCAAATTCAAAAAATTTTCGTAGATCAGTACATATAATAATATATATTGTAGGTAAAATATAAATGTAATAAAATGTCTATCGATATTTAGTTTATCCCAATCGCGAACGGACGTAAAGATGAAAATAATATTAAAATATAACATAATATTAGGTTGTGTTAAATTTCGACTTACCATAGTGTTGGTGTTCATTTTGTGAGTGAATTTGTTCGTGTTTTTAAAACTGAGTAGTATAAAATGTTGTAGGCGAATGACGAGTGGTAGAGTGCTGTCGTCCAAATAATATTGATAACTGATGTAGTGGCGTACCCGACAACTGTATTTATAAGAATTATATTATCGTTGGCATAACATAATATTATTGTATTATTGTGACCATCACCGCACATGACCGATTTTTTTTCGCACGCGATGATGCGCGTATTTCTTAATAATTCTGTTCACTGGGTTTGTGACATATACCTGTATACAACGATTTATCAATTATGTATGTTATTTCAGTGTTCACCTTCTACTACAACGGCTTCCAATTGAAATGGAAAATGCATATAGTTTGGTATTGTATACAAAGACTGCATATTTTAGATTCTGAATGAAATGATGAATCTATTGATTTTACAATGATGTGTTTTTTTTTGTGTCTGTGTACAGCATAACTAGTCGAAAAAATGCTCAGATTTCAAACTTTGGGGTTAGTTTCCGATGTAAAAGTGAATATCCTTGGTGCATTATAGAGGTCAAAAGTAAACATTTTCAAACAGTTTTTAAAAAAATCGAGAAAAACAAAAAAAAAAAAATTACAGAAAAACGGGTTAGTAAAACCAGTTTTCGACCAAATCAATTTTTTTATATGGTTGTAATTCAAAAACTAATCATGTAAATACTTCAAATTTTCACCAAATGTTTATGTTAGTGTTATCTATATACAGTTTAATTTTCAAAAATTTTTGACTTTTTTTGAGTTATTTATAGACCACTGAAATTTTCGACTTTTTTGAGAATTTTTTTTTGAAGTGTCGGTAAAAAAATGTTGGACGACCAAAAAAACTTGAAAATTTAATACAAGGTTCCTTATGAGTAGTTCTTATTGTAGCTAAAAAAATTAAAAATCGTAAGTCACGATTTTTTTTATAAGTGTTTATAGTTCAAAATTTTACGAAATCTGTCGAAAACGCAAAAATTTGCAAGTCATTTTGAAGTTGAAAAATCATAAAA